CCCCTAACCGCCTAACCCCCTTGTGATGCATCAAAATCTAGTGGCCGTGGCAAATAATGACTGAAGTCGACTTCGGGGAGCTCAAAGTGATCCTATGCCGAGCGTTTTCCCCCCAGCGCACCGCGATCCTCGACGGACGGCTCAATACCCCCGAGGGAGGGCGTCCCTCTATCCCCGTGTGTCGCTTGAACGGGTCACTCTCTGTGGCAGATGTTTATGTTGCCCTCACCACAACACTATGTGATCCACTCAGTTTTTCCCCTCTTTGCCCTGCACCCGCCCCGCGCGCAAGCGGCGGCTCCGCCCCCCGCCACGGTAAACGCCTCGCGCAGCGCCACCGAAATATCCTTCCGTCCTTGGGTATGGCCAGCGCGACCCTCTGCAGCACTGTGTCGGCGGGCGTGGCGTGGAGGGGCGTAGGCCGGGCCGTTCGACTCGACGCGCATGTCGTGACTCCTAAAAGGCCCGCGCGCCTCCCCTGTACACGTACTACACGAGTCGGCGTATAGTCCTCATGCTTTCAGTGGGGGTTGGCAGCCCCGCTGTGCGCCGGCCTCGTGACGCCTGCAGGGGGACGCCCGTCAGCCCCTCTGCCCCGCCACACCACGCCACACCCCGCCACGCCCCGCCTGCGGGGAATGACCGGAGCGCCCGCCATGGAGCTGGAGCTGGCGTCGGACAACTCAATGGCGTGGCACGGTGACGAATTGCTCGTTGTGTGTTGTCGGGCGTTGACATCTGGACCAAAGGCTGCTGCTGCCTCTGACGCTGGACTGGAGCCATGGCGCCGCCCCGCCGCCCCGCCCGGCTGGCAGCCACATGACGCGGCCGCGGGGCCCCCTTGTTGTGCGCCAGGCGGGCAGCGCGAGCCTCTTAGCGGCTGGAGAGCTAACTGCCTTGCTATTGACAGGTGACTGTTAGCGACGCCGCGGTACAAAAGCGACACGAGTGGGCCTTGGCCGTCGTCGGGGAAGGGGTGCTGCCATCGAGTGGTACGACGAACTCGCCTACCAACTGCGAAGCGGGAAAACACAGAAACCGACAAAAACTTTCAACGTGCTTCCACTAACTGCTGCACAAAAAACGTAGTCTGAAGATTACAATTCAGTTTTCAGTGGACACGCCAGGGAAGCAAACAGCTTCTTTTCTCGTGCACGACCTTCTCACGCCTTCTCATTTGAAACTCGATAGGACGACTGTCACCGAACGGAAACATATGTCTGTGCGAGGCCCAGATGACACCGCATACTCTCACGACATTATTCTCCGGGAGATAGTCCCTCCCTCTCCTGTCGAAGGTACCTGCAGCGAGGGGGCCTCAACTCTTTTGTGGAGTGTCCACCAGATTGCCCAGATTGCCAGACTGCTAGACGTATACTTGACATTCTGGTCATAAATCGCCTGTAACAAGACAAAACTCCCTACTCTCGCCCCGATTGTAGACAAAAAGCATGGCTTTGGGATGAGATAGACCTTTTATCCAAACGATGTGGCAACGCCGCACGCTAATAGTTTCCAGCGACAAACTCTTAATTGTGATCAAAATTCAAAATTCTGGCCACGGTGTTTGATTTTTGTGACTACTCCGCGTCAAACACCGTGGCCAGAATTTTGAATTTTGATCACAGTGAAGAGGTTGTCGCTGGACAAAAATAGCGGTATTTGGGCGACTGTACGAATAACCGCTTTGGATAAAACGTCTATTGCCTCGAGATTGCTGGTGATTATTGCCAGGTAGGTGTACACCAGATTGCCAAAGTTGAGGCCCCCTCGACCCCCAGTGGGTTCTGCACTGACCCGGCGCGCTGCGCGCTGCGCTGGCCGTGCACAGCCGAGCCGGACAGACCACGAGGACAGGTGGCATGGCGCGGGCGCGGGCGCGGGCCCCCCGGTGGGTCCGGCCGACCGGCCTTTGTTCCTGCCAACGCTGCCGAGTCGCGGCGGTGTGGCCCTGCAGCTCCTCTGTCCGTCCCGTCCGTCCCGTAGGGCCGTCAGCTCCATCCGGTCGCGCTTGGCCGCCTGCCACCCCGCTCGCCGCCGCTGCTGCGTGGCCGCTGCCCGAGCAGGGCCCCCCGCCCACCTGCAGGTGCGGGCCGGGCCGGGCCGGGCGCCCGCACTGTACTGCTTATCTCCCGCCTGCAGCCAGGTGGGGGGAGGGCAGGTGTGCCCAGCTGGCGGCGTCCTGGAAGTGGCGGCTTACCCGATATTGGCTATCGCGTAGTCACCAACGGGGCGGGGCTGGACTCGACGCGCACGAGGAAAACCAAGATGTCCTTGATTGAATATGAAACGGTCGATAAGAAATAACAGAGCAGCTGTCATGTAATGAACGGGTGTACTGTAACGGTTTTCTGTCTGTCTGTTCTACAGTGGACCGCTGCGTGGGGTGCGGCGGCAGCGTGCACTCGGGCTCGTGCTCCGACGTGTACGTGGACGTGCGGGGCGGTGAGGCCGTGTCCGTGTCCGAGCACATCGGCGAGCACGCCTTCAGCCAGATGCAGGGCGACCTGGACCAGCAGCGGCTGCTGGGCGAGCGGCCCACCGCCGACATCGAGCTGGTCCGCCAGATCCAGAGCAAGGAGCGGTGAGTAGAAGGGTTGGAGAGTGGGCCGGAGGGAGGTACCCGTCGGCGGGCTGAGTTGAAGGACGCCGCCGAGCCGGGCTGGACCGCCGTGTGTGGCGTGGCTTGTCCCCCCCC